GCGATGCGCTGTGTCCCGCCCGGCCGCCGCCAGCCCAGGGTTGCGGCCTGCGCGCTCTCCTCCTCTTCTCTCTCCGGCGCCGCTTCGCAGGCCCACTACCACCGCCTCCTCCCCGAGCGCGACGCACTGCCCGGCCCGCACTCGGCGCCGCAGGAAGGGGAGGACTGGGGGCCGCGGCTGGCGCGGCTGCCGGAGCCGGCGGGCCTCTTAAAGGGACCGCGCAGGGACGCCGGGCGGGACACTCTGCTCCCTTCCTCCGTCCCTGCGCGCTTGGGGAAACGGAAGCCCTAATGGCAGCAAACCCGACTGTCGAACTCTCAGCCCAGAGGTCGAATAAAAAGGACATCAGACCCCCGATTTAGAGAGACCTTTCCAACGCGGAAGATCTGGAACACCTGGCTCCTCCTTTCCCCATAACCTAGCCACTCGCCAGCGACAGGCTGAGCACGCCTGGCTGGTCTTCCAGTGAGGCAGGAGGACCAGGTTGGGTCACCAATTTCAGCAGCCCCTGGGTGCCAGCAGGCCTCCAGCGCTGTGGATCTGCGGTGGGTGATGGAGCAAAAACTGCCACACGGAATTGTCACAGTGATACCACAAACCGGGGGAGAAACAGGATTTGAATCACCCCCAGGTGATTCAACACCTGCCTTCCTACGTCCTGAGCCATGCGTTTGTCCTCTGGGCTATCCTAAGCTTCAGAGACCAAAGTCGTTTCTCTGGGACTATCTGACTCAGAACTTGCCTAATTAGCCCCCTTCTAAGGGGGTCGCCAGCCTTCACAGGGCTAGGTGGAAGATAGAACAGCCCAGACCAGGCAGTGAAATAAAATATTTTATGGTTCTCTGGGGAAGCCCAGAGATCTGAGACACAGCAGAAGGCATTCTGAAGGGAGTCTGATGGGCACAAAAGGAAAATACCCAAACCAGCCGGCTGAGAATAAAAGGAAATAGGAATTGGCAAAGTACTGAGCTTGAATCCTGACCATCTCTCTTTCTCTGCCTCAGTTTCCTGGGCATTGAAATGAGAACAAGAAAATCTGCCACCAAGGACTGTTGTCCCTTCATGGATGTGAGGAATTGTCATACCCTTCTCCCAATTCCAGTGCTGCCCAGATGTCCAGTTTAAAGGAACAGAGCCCAGGCTAGTGGCCAAGCCAGCCTGGCTTGGGATCAGGTCTCCCCCACTCCCAGCTGTGTGACCTCAGCAATTCCCTTCCCCTCCCTGAGTCTTAGTTTTGTCCTCATCTGTAAAATGTCATGAACACCATATGTAAAATGCCCAGATGGATAAAACACAGGACACACCCTGATAAATGGCATGTGGGGTTTGTTCCAGGGTTGCCTGTTATAATGTTGGTGTCCTGAGAGAACTGTCCTGTTGCTGGAGAAATTCTGGGGCCCTAGGCAGGGTGAGTGCTGCATAGCTCACTGCCACCCTCTGCAGGCCTCTCTAACCTCCTGCCATCCCTGTTTCCCTGTACCCAGCAGACCCTCATCTCTGCCATTTGGGTTGTAAATCACCCATTTGGCAGGTGAGGAAACTGAGATTCAGGTAGTGCCTTGACTTTTGGGTGGTGGAGCAGAGAGGGGCTGGAACCCCAGCAATGTGGTACTGAGCAGTGCTCTCATTCTCATTCTCAGGCCTCACAGGGTCATGGTCGATATTAGCTGCCTTCTCTGTATAACCTGCTCAGGTCACCCAGCGAATGGGCCAGGCAAGATTTGGCCATCAGCAGAAAGAATCCTGAAGGTACAAACTGCTTTTTCCCCCTTGCTATTTGGGCCCCTCCATCAGGGGGAATTGTGGGCTCATCGGCGTCCATTTGACCATTACATACCTGGGAAAGAGAGAGGGACATGGGGAAGGGTGGCACTTCATCTATCACTGAAATGTCCCTTCTCTGGTTCACAGGTCCTAACTCAGCCCCACCTTAAATTTTGTATACCTAAACAAACTCTGAAGCTATTTGGTCTGGGTTAGCAGGCTCTGTTCTCTTGACATGACAAATGGCATTTTGCTCGGCACAAGGGCGCATCCAGATAATAACTTCCTCCCCCACAGGACAGCCTGTTCTGGCTCTAAGGACATTCCTCCAACCTCAGGACTTCCCTGAAAGCACTCCAACCTTGGACCTCTGGACCTTTCCTGCAGAACTTTCTTATCATTCACCTCTCCGGTCCAGTAATCCCCATTGTGTGTCTGTCCCAGCTAGATCTAAACTCTGCAAGGACACAGACCTGTTTGTCTTGTTCTTCCATGTCCCCCAAGTGCTGAGCTCATAGTCGGTGCTCAGTCAGAACAGGTGGAACGAGGAACCACACATGTGACCTGGAGAGCTCACAGCCCAAGGAGAGAGACGTACATGTGAGGGGGAGGAAAAGATAAGGCATCAGAGCCTGGCCATAGGAGGCTGTGTGTGTATGCTGTGTGGGGGAAGGCAGAGGCCTAGGGAGGACTTGCCAGGGGTGGGGACCCTTGAGCTGCTCCTAAGGACAAGGAACAGGTAGGCAAGGAACAAGGAGACTTCCTAGTTGTAGGTGTGTTTGAGGAACAGCCGGGTTGGGAGATGATGCTGGTGTGGGCGGTAAGAGGTGAGATCAGAGGTGAGGCAGGGCCTTGTAGGCATGTGAGTTTGGGTTTCATTCTAAGTGCAAGAAAAAACTGCTCAAAGTTCTAAACCTGCACTGTCCAATAGAACTTTCCAGTGCAAGGGCACAGTCTGTAATCTATGCTGAACAATACAGCAGCCAACAGCTGCCCAGTGTGGTTACCAAACACCTAAAATGTGACTGTGGCAACTGAAGAACTGAATTTTTAGTTTAACTTAATTTTAATAAATTAAAAAAAATTTTTGAGACAGAGTCTCAGTCTGTTACCCAGGCTGGAATGTAGTGGAACAATCATAGCTCACTGTAGCTTCAAACTCTTGCCTCAAGTGATCCTCACACCTCAGCCTCCCAAAGCCCTGGGATTACAGGCATAAACCACCAAGCCCGACCCGAATTTAAATTTAAATAGGCCCTGCTGGTGGCCTGTTTAATCCCAGCACTTTGGGAAGCTGAGGCAAGTGAATTGCCTAAGCCCCCCCTCCACCCGGTTCAAGACCAGCCCAGGTGGCTTGGTGAAACCTCATCTCTACAATAAATAAAAAATTAGTGGGGCATGGTTGCACGCACCTGTAGTTCCAGCTACTTGGAAGGCTGAGGCGGAAGGATCACCTGAGCCCAACTGCGGGACACTGACTATGATGAGTGAACAGGGATGCCCTCACGGTTTCAGGTGTCTGTAGCCTGTTTACAAGGAGGAGGCAGGCAGACAGAGGGTGAGTCTGAAGCACTGAGAAGCAATCAAGACCACAGAGAGAAATTGGAGTGTTGCCAGTGAATAATTGCTGGTGTTTGTGGTCACAGGGGTGGGACTCTCCCCCTGCCTGAGGAGGCTAGGTGGGAAAGGGGCAGGGTCTGGACTGAGAGGGAAATGGAGGCAGAGAGACTGGAAAGGGACTGGTCAGGGAGATGATAGGGACTTAGGAGTCTAAGGGAAGAAGACTCAGGGAGGAATAAAGAGCACTACTGTGCCCTCACAGGAGGAAGGAGTCCAGTGGTATCTGGAGTCCTAAGAGTTGCAGAGCAAAGGTGGGCTCAGCAGTAGAAGCTGGATGCTGCATGGGCCCAAAGTGCTATTCCAGGGAGATTTCTGAGGGATTTGGCAGGAGAAGGGCTTCACTAAGGTCTCCACAGATGTCTCTGAGCAATGGGTGGCATTTATTTTCTTCATCATTATGCTTTTCTGAATTCTATTTTTTTTTTTTTTTGAGTTGGAGTCTCACTCTGTCGCCCAGACTGGAGTGCGGTGGCCGCTCCCAGCCACCGCAGCCTCGATCTGCTGGGCTCTGGCGATCCTTCCGCCTCAGCCTTCCGAGTAGCCGGAATTACAGGCGCGCTACCACGCCCGGATTTTTTTTTTGATTTATTGTAGAGATGAGGTCTCGCTGCCCAGGCGGCTCTTGAACCCGCGGGCTCAGGCAATCCACTCACCTCAGCCTCCCAAAGGCACGGGATTACAGGCTGAGCCACCAAGCCCGGCCTGAATTCTGTTTTTTTCAAGAGGTAGGGTCTCACTCTGTCACCCAGGCAGGAGTGCAATGACATGATCACAGCTCACTGCAGTCTTAAATTTCTGGCCTTAATCTATCCTCCTGCCTTGGCCTCCCAAAGTACTG